ATGCAAAACTTTATTTCGTACCTTCATACACACATAACACAACATTAGAATGAGCTTTTATCAACGCCTACATGATGATAACCTGTCAACATGACAGGAAAATCCACATGACATTAATACAGAGCGGGCAGAACCCAAATCTGCATTCAAAGAATATAGTTGGGTAATACACTTTACCAAAGCTTGAGGAAAATATCTGAAATCTGACATTTCATTTAACTCCAGCTCTTGACACAGGTTCGGGAAAGCCCCATGAGCTTCTTGCTGTAGTATCCATGATTTCACCCATTTAGTGCGGTTTCTCCTAATTCTTCGCTTCCGCCTCTTGAGAGACTGTTGCTTGAGAATGTCTTCCACAAGCAACACTCCAATGGCTGATAGCTCCAGTACCGCACGAAACATGTTTTCGATGGACGACAGTGAAAATGGACGCACACGCTATTTGTTGTTTGTTTATATGACGCGGTCTGTTCTTCTTCTCTGTCTTCCGGTTGTTGCCTATTTTGAATGACGAATACACACTACCGCCGCCTGCTGGTAAGGCTGAAGTCTTTGCGGTGTGTTCCAGTGCGACACATGGCCAAGACGCAGGAGAACACGGCGACGCAACAGTCGGCGTCGGCGAGTTCTCTGGTGACTGGTGTGTCAGGGCCTTTACACCACCATCAAGGGAGCCTATCACGCCGTCCCCCGCGCTGCATTGGGCCACTCTGACCACACCATGGTTCACCTGATTCCTGCATACAGGCAGAAACTCAAGCTGTGTAAGCCTGTAGTGAGGACATTCAGGCAGTGGAGCAGTAAAGCTAAGGAGGAACTTCAGGCGTGTTTGGACTGTACTGACTGGGACATGTTTAGGACTGCCACTCAAAGTCTGGATGAATATGCAGAGGCTGTGACGTCATACATCAGCTTCTGCGAAGACAGCTGTGTACCAACACGCACCAGGGTGAGTTTCAACAACAACAAGCCCTGGTTCACACCAAAACTGAAACAGCTAAGATTGCAAAAGGAGGAGGCGTTTAGGAGTGGCGATAAGGCACGTTTTAGAGAGTCGTCTTTGTCTTTGGCAAGGCGGTGAGAGATGCTAAATGACAATACTCTGAGAAACTCCAACATCAGCTCTCAGCAAACGACTCTGCTTCTGTTTGGCGTGGTAAGACAGATCACAAACTACAAACCAAAAGCCTCCCTCTCCATGAACGCCTTGCAAACGATCTGAATCAGTTCTACTGCAGATTTGAAGACAAAGACCCCCTTTACACGAGAACGAAACGGGTTGTATCCGCATAGTTTCTCTTGCGTATAGCCATTTTATTTACACGAGGCCGTAACAAAACGATAGAAACGGACCCCACAAACGATAACGGGTCCCAAGGTGGATAACTAGGTGGTAATTCGTGGCACAATTCAAACGGGATCGAAAGATCATTTTTCTCTCGCCATTGACTTCAATACATAATTTTTCCGAAATAAGGTCCCATGGAGGTCCACCGGAAAGGGAGGGACTTTGGCTCTCTATTCAGCTGTTTCTGCACGAATGTTAAACTGAGTTGGAAAGAATGGAAGAAGAGATGGAAATCTCAAGGGAATATTTTAACAACGGATATACATATGATGTTATCCTCGACATGCTGTCAACCCATCACCACATCAACATGTCCCAAAACATCAGCCGTTAGCTGTTAGCCCACAGAGCTCACAGCTCCTCATATCTGTTCAGAAACTGTAGAAAGTTATAAATATACAAACCACAGACTGTCTGTGTCATGGCGAATACAGTCGCTGCTTTATTTCTGTCTGTATGACGTTGTTGTGAGTTTGGACGGAGCAGCTACAGGTTAGTTTAGCCGGATCGATCCGATCTCCATTCAGAAAACACGCATTTTAAAAGGTTTTTCGCCTGCCGTCAAAAAGTTGAATAATGCACATTATATTAAAACGTTTCACGAAACTCCTAATGTTAGAAAATGTAAAAGATGTAAGGTGTCAATACATCAGTGAATACAGATGTGGCTAATTTTAACATTTAAACTAATTATGAACAAGTTGAAAAAGTTAATAATACACATTGGGTATAGAGATGTGGGACATTTCAATTTTCATTTAGAAAAGCTGACAGTAGTGCATTGCTGGATTTAAAAGTGACTTTTAACAATAATGTGTAAAAGATGTTCAATACTTTAATTATAGTTTATAAATCTCCACTAAGTATGTGTTATCCTGCAATAATTAGCTGATAAATTGTAGTAAGGTATAAATAAGTTGACATGATGACTGCAAAAGCAGGAATTGAACCAGCAACCTTCTGATTGAAAGACAAATGCAGTACCACAAAGCCACAGTCACACCTAGTGATATGTTGTGGGGCTGGATCTTTTTAAATGGTATATGAACAGTGGGGGCTTGAATCTGTGATAAGAGAAGAAAAGAAAGTAAAACACTTGGAAAAGCAACTGAATATCTGCAAACTTTTTAACTGAAACCATATGTCACCAATAATGTATAAAATATGTGGAAAATGTAAGTGTGTATGGAGTTTCCATCAGACAGTATAGGCTGAGACAGTGTGTTAAACTCCAGTCTGTGTGTCAGTGTCTGTGCTGAACTCCTAATCATAACACCTGTGTGCAGACATCAAAGGTTTCCATGGTGATGTGCAGTGATCAGTGAAAGGAGAGCCTTTCCATTGATCTGAATGAGAAATAAACCTCTTACATTTCTAACCATTGTTGAAAAACGTTAGCTGCTATCGTTAAAATGTCAACGCTGTGACCATGTCAGACCCCTGATGAGCGTTTTAGTGTTCTTTTTGTGTACTTTCGGATCAATAATGTGGCTCCTGTCGTTATGACATCATAAAATGACCAAAATCTGATCAGCTCATTTTCAGACAGGCTTTTATATAAATAGATCAGTGCAAAAAGTGAGCGAATCTTTTTTCCTGAAACTTTCAGAATGTCTTTACACAGAGGGGACACATGTTTATGTATAAAAGACATGAAAAAGTGGATTTTGCATAATAGGTGAGCTTTAATAGAGACAAGTTTTTGTCACATCCTTGAACTGATTTTTTTAAAGTTCTGTGCTTAAATGTTTTTACTTTAAACCTAAGAGAGAGAAGTCGACAAACGATGTCCCAGGAGTGTAGGGTTTGGGACTTATGGCAGGTTTAAACAAATGTTTTAAGGCAAATTTTAAGCTCACCTCCAACTCTGACATCACTAATTCTAACCCTTAACGTGCTGTGCAATACACACTAATGTTCAAATCTGAAAAAGGCCTCTTTAAAAAATCTGATTTAAAGGTTGTGTAATACGAATAATGTCAGAAAGATGTGTAACATTTTAAAGTTGGAATGAGGTTTATGAGTGAAAAAACGGGCATGTTAAAGTTGTTTTAGGGCACAAATAATTTAAAGCAGAAAACAAGAGTAAATCTAATTTATATTATTAATAAAACCCACCTCACAAAAAAACACAAACTCGCGGTTTTTTAAATGTCCTTGTTCAACAACTGGCCTGTTTGAGCCACTCTTGGTGGTAACCAGGCACAACTGATGCTACATAATACCATGTCATGTTTTAGGTTTCATCGTATTCATGTTTGGTATATGCACAAAGTGTTTTCCTGTAGCATGTACTTACCTTTTTTAAATGTTCTGAGCTATTCTTCTGACATTTAAAACACTGACTTCCAAACCTCTTGTCATATTGATTTGTAAAACTAATTAACTTGAATAAACTGGAAATATATGTGTTTAATATGCATATGGATGTAAAATTCAGTCTTAAACTAATGAAGATTCAACTTTTATTTCTCTTTCTCTTTTTTTTAGACCCAGTTGTAACCCTCTCGTGATAGTTTGGGAGTCCCCAACTTGATTCCTGCAGATTTCTGTATTTACAGTACATGACTGAGCTTATTCAAATTTGATATTAGAATATACATCTTATTTTCATAAACGGGAACTACAGTCTAATTTTGTGATAAAAGTCCACTTTGATTATTTACTTACCAGAAAAAGGAATGTGGTTATCAGTCTGTGGTAAAATACAGAAGTACAGCTCTGTTTGAGTTGGTTCTTGGTACTCTCCAGTATCAAGTAGCAAGTATTCTCTGTTCCTGATTCCGGGTTATCACAAACTGGGGCAGAAACACATTCTATCAGTCTGCTTTGGCCCAAATTGTCCAAATGAAAATATATATTTTTGAATGCAGCCTGACTGCTTATGTATCTTTTTAAATGAACATCTGAAAGTAAAATTCAGAATCAATTCATATCATATTCACGTGTCACCTCTGTAGGTAACTGCTGTAAATCATCTTTAGTAGAACACTTAAATTAAGCAGACCCATAAACCGATGCGATGCATCCTCTTGTGACTAAATTGCATGTTTGTTTTAGTCAGGGTTGGGAGGGTTACTTTAAAAATGTAATCCGTAGTAACATTTAAAAAAAAAACGAGTGACCCTAAGTATCAACATATAAAAGTAATGTAACCTGATTGCTTTCCGATACTTTTGGATGACCTCAATATCAAATGCAATGCAAATTATAAACAAGAAAAAATAAATATCAATAAAAAATACAGTATGTCAATAAGTGTATGTCAGAATGTAACCTTAGAAAAGAAGAAACCAAAATATTTCACAACAAAAATGTAGTTACAGTAATAGTTTACAAATGCTGCTAAAGCTTAATACATTTATAATCAAACATCATTTCTGACTCTTACAGTATACTGTATGTCTATATGTTTAGGTAAACATCCAATGGTAATTGCATTTATTGTTACCAAAGTCAATGCAATTATTCCATGGTGTCAATGTGGATTTAGTTTGCTTGATAGATCAGTAAAAATAAAGACCCTCAGAAGGAAACTCCAAACTCATTTAGCAGAAACCCCCCTAAAAAATGAAGATGCCACCATTTTTACATTTGTATGTGTCAAGACAGGAAAGGTGTGGCATGCTTCCTTGTTTGCTACTGTATAAAGCCAGACTCCAGCACATTGACCCACAGAGCACTCTCACACCACTCTCACATCCTCATCGGTGCTGAAAGATCAAACAACCGCCAAGATGATGACGAAAGCCGCGCTCCTGCTGTCCGCTCTGACGCTCTGCTGCTGCATCGCCTCTCTGCAAGGTAACACATTTATTTTTATTTTTAAGTGTTCTTAACTGTGTAATCCAGTATGTTGGAATGCTTCCTCTTACTTTATTTTTTGTTGTAATTTGTGCATCCTAATTTAGCCAAACACTAAGCTGCCATCTGCATCTGACGATAGTTTACCTATATTGAAGCTGTACATTTTTAAGAACTTTATGTTGCTCTGATTTAAGACTATCATGCTATAAGACCAATTTCATTTTGATGATTTGCTATAGGCAGGCAATTTGTCAAAAACACAAAAATTATGTTTCTACGAGGATGGTTTCATTGTTTTATTGTTTTTCTATTTTTGATTTATTGTTCCTTTTCATTTAGTATAATTATTATCTTGTTTTCTTTGACCACATTTCATACTTTCCACTATTCTCAGTTATTAGTCAAGTTAACAGTGTTACAATCTGTTATGTGTTAGAGTACACTCCTGACACTGGAAACAGTCGATTGACAAAAATCATAACTCACGGTTCAGTTACTTTGAACCTTGCTCTTTGCTTTTCCCGGAGCTTTCAACTTCACCATGGGTTTTTTTCTCAGCCAAAGGAATTTGAGTAATTCCTTTTATCAAATGAAAAGTGAACCTGAGCAAACTTTGTCCTCTCAGGAAGAAAGTGAGATGCTGTTCAAAGCTCTAGAAAGATCTACCAACAAGAAGTGCCTTGAGTTTGAGCTTTTGTGTCCAAAAACTATTTCAAAGGTTGAGAATGACATTGACCCTTAACATCATTTTTCTTTCAACAGTAATACCAAAAGTTTAAAAAAGTGTCTCTATTGACACAAATGAAGCAGTATTCACATTTCATTCAGATGTTCAGAGATTTTTCAGGGGTAAAACTTGTGTTCCATCTCCCAGCTTTTCCGAGGGAGCGCTGTATGTGCATCCGGACCATCTCTTCTCCCATGCCTCTCGGAATCATCAAGAGAATCGAGGTGAATCCCATTTCAGGACTCTGCCGACGAACTGAAATCATGTGAGTAGTCAAGATTCATTTCAAAAACTGCGGAACCTTATTCATGGTAAAACAGGTGCAAATATATTTTATATTTATGATTGATTATGAAAAAAAGAGTCCAGAGTTCAATTTTTCTTTACATCACACAAATACTGTTAGAGAAGCCAAACAGCAGTGTTGGAAAAATCGTGTAAGCTGTTTTTTAAGAGGCAGTAATAACAATGTAAACACTCTCAATTACCATAAGTCTCAATTGTATCTACTAAAAGCAAGTTATACAAGCATATACAGTCCTTTAAGTAAGTATTTGTATTGCAACATACAAAATACAACCTTTGGAGAGAGTCAGGATGCTTTCAGTTTTTATGCTACATGGCCTCTAACATATCGTCTCTTGGGGGGAAATCAAAACAACATATTTACCAAAATGTTCTGCTATTGCTTAAAGAACAGTATTTGAGTACTTCGAAGTAACTGAACTTATGTGTTTGTGTCAATCGAGTGTTTCCAGTGTCAGGAATGTACTTTAACCTGTTAAGCCCGAGAGACCCCGGTACCGGGGCATTGCCGCAACATCTTGCAGGAAACAGTGTCTGAGGGCATGTTCATTTAATAAAACTATGAATGTTTTATATCCATGTAACGGGAAGAAACTCATCTAACTGATCATTTTTTTTTTTTTCAAAATAAAACCCACAATGAACCTCTGAATTAGCAACGAGTGAAAAATGCTAACAGATTACTGCACCGAAATTCACTCAAAAAACCTTATTATTTATCTTTTCTGCACATCCATGACATCGTTTCACATCGTGAGGTGACACAGAATCGATGGGTGCATACATTATCACTCCATGATACGAACTCGCGACTTTATAAACAAAAACAGACATCAAAACATGTGGCGCTAGGTAGCTAAAAACGCTAACATGGCTTACCTGTCTCTGTAGTCTGGTCAAAAGTGATCTTCAATGGCATTAAAACGATAAAAACTCTGCTGAAGTTAATCCATAGGTTAATCCAATGTGTCTGTGTCCCTTTGAAATGATTTCTGATAATCCATGAGCAATAAAACTGCCTTTCCGTTTCCAGATATCAGAGCTAGAGTGTAGGTTCGCTCTGATGCAAAACTACATGCGCGAAGCCCCCACCTTTTTTTTCAATCATGTGTGTGAGAGGGGAGATTCCCCTTCGATTCTATTGGCTCTAACAGTCATAAAGAGATGTCAATCACCAAAATCGACCATGATGTAAAACCCCCATTTCCACCCAAATCACTTCAGAGGTGGAGTCTTTTTTGCTAAACCTCTCTAAAAAGGTCAAATGTCACTTGTTTTGCATCAATCTTGATACAGGGTACTTATTATATGTTGTACTTTGGATTCATAAAGCTTTTAGTCTACCTTACCATCATCCAAGGGTAGTTTTCACTATAAGTAAAAAAGAATTTTTGGACGGACACTATAATTTACAGTTTTTTACTATGTTCAATCTGAATTTTCTTTAAAATAAAAAACATCTATATTGTTCTGACTCTTCTACATCCAACTCACAGGTTTATCATTACTTTGAGAAAACATATTATTAATGTAACCCTTTTAGAAGGGAAGATATGGTCATTTGTTCTGGGAATGTCATTTTCGAGCCTGAGACCTGAAAAACAGGCTCAGGGCTAAACAGGTTAACACATAACAGATTGTATCACTGTTAACTTGACTAATACGTACTTATAAAAGTGAAAGTACTGGAGAAGTACAAAGTTACACAGAATGGAAAAAACTAAAGCGTGCAATTTAAAAAAAAAAAAAAAAAAAACATCTACAGCACCATACCACTTCAGGAAAGGTACTGCATTTACCACTTTTGTTTAACTGAGACTTCTGCATCTGCATTCTGCTTCACCGAACGGGAGCAGCATCCAAATACCAACTAGTAAACTTGAATTTTCTCTCCTGTCAATAATAAAAGTCCAACTCCTCCTCCTCTCCGCAGAGTCACCAGAAGGAACGGCTCTCAAGTTTGTGTGAACCCAGCGGCGAACTGGGTCAACGTACTGATCAGCAATCTGCAAAGGTAATGATAGGCTTATTTTAATTAATGATTGCAAAAACAACAATTACAATATCTACAGTTTAAACACAATAGTACTTTTTTCCATTGTAAACTGATATCTCTGAATTTTGGACTCCACATTGGTAGAAATCCATTAGACAAGTTTCTGACATTTAATAGACAAACAATTATGCTACAGTAAAGTGTTAGTTTACAGTGTTTGGTAATGTTTATGGAGATGTGTTTTCTTTTATTTTTCTTCCTTAAATGTATAATACATTCTATACAAAAATCTACAAATGTTGTTTTTTAGGAAACAGAAGATCTTCAACTCCCTGAATGATTCTTCAGCTCACTGACAGCTTTCTAATCCTCGTTTAGCTTTACATGTCAACAGAGAAATGGACAAATGTTTGTGATTGAGAGGCATTGTTACCTTTTTTCTGTCTTTATTTACATGGGAATGTGTCTATTGTCTCCCTCTGTCCCTGAAAACAAATACAAACAAATGAAGCCATTATTTTCTCGGCCCCATGCCATGGCAAAGTGTCTTAACTGATATTTCAATACAAAAATAGACCTGAAAATAAACAAAATAGGGCCCCATTTAATAGGATAATGGTAATAAAAACTTAACTTGCATCATATAACGCTGTATATTTCCCCACTCGGGTATCATGTCCACCCTGATCACAATACAACATTTAGCCACTGGGTTTAATTGCCTTCTGAATAATTGTATTGAGTTATTTAGCTTGTCTTGTTTTAATTACAGTCAAGATGGGAACTCCGGCTCAACCACTGTGTCACCCAACGCTTCCACAAACAACTTCTGATCACAATCTGTGGCAACATGTGACATAACAATGGCTTCAATTAAATGTATCAAGCTGTGAATTAAGATGGGAGGGCTGAGATATGTCCAGCTTTAAAAACTACCTAATGATTCAAATGATTCAACACTTTCATTAAAAATTCTTCTTTTGCCTTTCTTGTGTTGCCTTTTTCGGAAAATGTCAATAAACAATCTGTCTTACTTATTTCTCAGATGCCTGAAGTACTGACAGTTGATAGTACTTCACTTTAACGGGGCTGCTTTACTCCCATGTTATATACATTTTAATGTGGATTTCATTATTGCTGTATGGATACTCAGATTCTAAAATATATAAATGTTGCTATTTCTTTTTTTTAAAACCATAACTCTGTACTGTGAAGTAATTCTGTGATGGTTTTATTACAAAATCAATAGAATGCAAAGAATGCTTTCCTGTAAATGTGAATACACAATGATGCTGGGCTGGTACTGTAACCTGTCATTTTAGTGTTGTGTTATCATTACTTGTCTTCTTATAAAGAATAAAAGAAGAGAAAAAGGCCATGTTGTTTGCCTTTTCTTGTTGTCGGGCTGTGTGGAGGGTTGATACTGCTGTTGGGGTTTTGTATGATCTGAGGTGTAACAGCTCACATGTTAAACACAGCTGCAGCCTTTGTAGAAGTGCTCCATTCATTCATGTAAAAAAGTGTGTTTAGAAAAACATTATACTGAATTGCTTTTTTTGGGGCCACTCACTTTATTAATAATCCCCCCCAAAAGTCTCATTGTTCGTTTTCATTTTCATTTGCCGGGGATTTAGTGTTTTTTTCCCCTTGCAAAGCACTTTATAACTTTGTTAAAAGTTGTCCTCTAGTATGTCAATTCAGCAAAACGCAACATAATTTTAAAAATGTTACAACTGAGAGGATTTCAATCTATATGTAAGCATAAAAAATCCCCAAATTAAGTGAGAAGGTCTTCACAGCAACATGATTAAAGTTCTAATACTCACCAATGATGGAAGGTAACTAAGTTAATTTACTCATGTACTGCACCAATTGAGTATTTTCACATTATGCTACCTTTTTACTCCAATACATTTATTCTTCAGTTGTTGTTACGAGCTAATTATGATATATTATTATAAGTTTAGCTACCCAGCAGTAAATAACGTAAATTAAATAAACCCCACCTTTACAAAGTGCAACACAATAATGCAACAATAATTATGACACAATAATTTAAAGGTGGGGTAGGTAATTTTGGAGAAACCAGTTTGAGTGCGCTAGAATTTGAAAATACACAACCGGAGAAAATCTGCCACTTCCTTACAGAGCCCCTCCTCCAACACACACGAACGCGCACATGACCAATGAGGGCACGAGATAAGTTTGTGCACAGATGGAAGGCTGACAGGCAGGTAGGCCATCCAGTTATTTTAGCCGGGCCGGCTAAAATGATTGGTCGTACTTTTTACAGTATTACGGCTTCCACAGATGACACTTTTTAATGGATTTTTTGTCAAAACACTTAAGATATTCATTGCTATCGGGATGTTAAGAGCATTCCATGGAATATAACAAAAAGTGTATCTCGAGCCGGTTTCTCAAACTTACCTACCCTACCTTTAAAGCTCACCAATTATGCTATATTTTAACAATATATTATAGGGCCATATCTATACAAAACATGTCTCTGAAGTGTTTTGCTCCACATACCAAACAGATCACCCATTTTAGCCATGCCTCATACCCCTCTATTTCAGCCCTGTTACAAAAGTGCTGATTCTGGGTCCGTAGCTTCAAATGTAACCAGGCTGCTGCTGGCCACGCCCCTTTGGAGCGCATGCAAGCGGTGAGCTTTCTGTAGAGAAGAGTGTCTACCGGCAGAAACTCAGCTTAACGCTGCCGTGATTAAACGCCATATTATGTTCCAAACCACATCAAGCATTATTTCTGAAACGGTATGGAGCTCAAACGCTTTTTCTCTTGCGGGTTTACCACAAGGACAGTACCTTTTACATCCGTCTTCTTGACACATGTTCTCTCCAGTACAGCGTTAGCTCTGAGTGTTAGCGATGCTTGCTAATGTAAACAAAGACCTTATTACTTCCAAAACACTTGGTACATTGTTTCTGATACAGCACATAGCTTGACATGTTCTTTATTCAGTGTTTACTGTTAGAATAGTGCCATTATATGTATTATATATATATAACAACTTGACTCTTAGTCCCTCTCATAGACATCCTGCTGAATACACTGACACACAGCTGCGGTTTCAGCTAGCGACTGTATATGGGGACGATATGTTGGGACGTGCGGGGGGACGTTGCCAGGAGTTCAATGTAAAGCCAGCCCACATTTTAGTAATGACGTCAAGTTCTCAGCAAATCTGGAACAGCTCCGTTGTACCTCCGTTTTTAGAGATGTGGGTAAGGAGGAAAAGAGAGAGGGTTGTTTCCTGATACTTTGTGAGTCTCCTTACACACTGGGGACACATATTTATGTATACAATATTTTTGCAGGATAGGTGACTGTAATATTCTGTTCTATGGACATATAAGTGTCTACATAAACAGATGAAGCGGACTACTTGTGACATTCCGAGTGTCCATCTTTTATTCAACTGGCGCGTAACATGCACACATGCATTACGTCATTAACGTGATCTCCGTAATCAAAGATCTTGTATTCACCAAGATGTTACAGTGACCTTTAAGCAAAAGTTAAAGAGCTCTTCTTCCATCTCTGGTAGCCATTCTTCTCCCCGACGGAGCAAGGGCTGGTGTTGACGGGACCCCAAACAGGACCCCCGCTGGAATATCCAGTCTCTGATAGTGTTACGTTATTATGAGAGTGCTCTCATACTTGTTTGATTCTGAAAATTAATTGTATATATTTATCTAAATATATCTGATATGCCGATAGGAGAGGACGCTGGCGTGGTTTGTTCGCTGCTTGTCCACCGCTATCCTACTGTCAGTTCATGTTTGAACATATTTGATCTGATTTTTCTTTATACATCGGTTAGCTATATATAACATCTGTCAATATTGGCTCCAACTGAATCGCTACTTTGTTCAAGTAGTTCTCCGTTACCTATTTGCTTTTCCCTGCGTACCGGACCCTAGCCTGCTAACAATCTCGTCAACTCCCTGCCGTCAGCTGGCCACTAACATTGGACACCCTCGTCTCTGCACAACACAGCTACGGTGGGAAAAAATATATATTTTTCACAAACAGTTTATTAGCTGTCCCGGTGCGGAAAGCCCTAGTAGCCGTGAAACTTCGCTACTCACCCTGATCACCTGCCATGATGTGTGCTTTCCTGCTGTCTGACATTAAGCCTCTCAAGAGGTTCGTTGTGAGCTTCATCCTTCCCGGCCGACATGACTCTGTCATACTCCATCGCGGAACTACTCCAGCTAAAGCACACATCCACTCCACCATGCCCGACGATGATCTCCGCCATCAGTGAACATGGACTGCTACAACGACCCAAATACATTCACCGAAGCTCCGGACGAAAGTTTGTTTACTCCCGGTCCGGTCATTCCATCTCATCCATCTGGTCTGCTGCGCGCACTGACACCCCCCCTCTATTTCATCATCACAACAACCAACACGTGCACTCTGCCTGCCTACGCCCCCTTCCCAAAGCACCCCAGCCTGTTCAAACTCAAGCTCATCTTAAACTTGCTCTGTTTCACACCCGGTCTCTAAACAACAAGGGTCTCATTCTCAATGAATTAATCACTGACAATAATCTGGACTTTCTCTGTATCACAGAAACTCCAAAAACCACAGGAATACTTCTCCCTCAACCAGACAACACCCCCAGGATGCACATATATTGAAAAACCACGCCACCATGGGCGTGGAGGTGGAATTGCCACAATTCTAAGAAATAATATAAAAACAATTGCAATAAACATCCCTTGCCCCTCCTCATTTGAACACCTTGCATTTAAACTGTCTGGTCCAAAACCCCTGGTTACAGCAGTCATTTACCATCCCCCCAAACCAAACGCTGCTTTCCCCTCGGATCTTGCTGAATTCCTCACACAACTTTGCTCCATCTCTCCATCTGTATTATTACTTGGTGATTTCAATATTCATGTCGACTCAAACGACTCCAATACCGCAGAACTCCTGGACATACTCAACTGTTTCAATATCACACAACATGTTGATTTTCCCACCCATAAAGAAGGTCACACACTGGAACTGATCTGCACCACTTGTATCGCCATCAGCAACCTGACCACCTATGACCTCACCATCTCCGATCACCTGGCCCTCATCATGGACATCCTAACCCCAACCCCCCTCATCAAGCAGAAGCGCACCATACAATTCCGCAATATCAAGTCCATACACTCCTCCTCCCTCTCCTCCCTACTGGCTGACACCATCCCTGACTCCACCGTCACCCAGAATGTTTCCCCTACTGACCTGGTCAACACCTACAACAATGCTCTCTCCTCCTGTCTCAACCAACTCGCTCCAATAAAAACCAAGTATGTCTCTTTCACTCACTCGGCCCCCTGGTACACCGATCATCTCCGTTGCCTCAAAACGAAAGGTCGCCAGCTCGAAAGACATGCTAAACGAACTGGTCTCACTATCCACAAAGACATTTTTAGACTGCACCAACAGCAGTACAAAGATGCCCTCAACAGTGCACACTCCTTCCACTACTCCTCTGTAATACAATCTGGCAGCAATAACCCAAAGTCCCTTTTTTCAACTATTAACAAGCTCCTCAACCCCATGGATAATATCTCCAACTCCTTCACCACCTCAAAGTGTGAATCCTTCCTCTCATTCCTCCAAAGCAAAATTGAAATAATACACAGCAACATAGCCAACTCCTCCGTCTCGTCCACCACCCATCCTTTTCCGGAACCTGCCTACCCTCCTCCTTCCAGGCACCCTTTTACAGCCTTCAGACAAATTACCTCACTGGACATAGTTGCCCAAGTTACCGGCATGAATACCTCAACTTCCATCCTGGACCCCATGCCCTCCACCCTTGTCAAGGCCTGCCTGCCCCAACTCACTCATCTTATCACCACAGTCATTAACTCCTCTCTGTCCACTGGACTCGTCCCCCCTGCTCTGAAACTCGCTGCTGTCACTCCCATACTCAAAAAACCTGGTCTCAACCCTGACTCCCTCAATAACTACCGGCCCATCTCTAACCTCCCATTCCTGTCAAATATTCTGGAGCGAACTGTTGCCTCCCAACTCAAATCCCATCTGGACTGCTATAACCTTCATGAACCTTTTCAATCTGGTTTCCGTACTCGCCACTCGCATAGAATCTGCCCTACTCAAGGTGGCCAACGACATTCTCCTCTCTGCTGACTCTGGTTCCCTCTCAATTCTCATTCTCCTTGACCTAACAGCCGCTTTTGACATGATCAACCATTCCATCCTCATCAACCGCCTCCAGTCTTCCATTGGCATAACCGGTACTGCTCTCTCCTGGTTTAAATCCTATCTCTCTGACAGACATCAATTCATCTCCATTAACAACTCCAAATCCCCCACAGCCCC